AAAAAAAAAAAAAAAAAAAAAAAAAAAAGGAAAACCAAGGAACTTGCATAAAAAAGCATATATAAAGTCAACGTTTAAAAAAAACAGGAGCGTTTAATTAACGTGCCTGATTTTTTTTTCGTTGTAATAAAGTAGAAAAATGAAACGGGGGGGCCCACAGAAAAATGTCTATGATACAACATACCATTTAAATGAAAAACAAAAAAGATAAAAAAAAACATACGAATAATCTAACTATATTTATGAAGTAACCATCTATAAATGACCTTTGAACATTGTGTGTTGTAATAACAGAAAATTAATTATACGCAAAGTATAATATTAACTTAGTATCTCTGCTAGAGTGACAAACGCTTTTGAGAAACGGTCGATGGTATGAATTACGCGATTATAATGTCTGCAATTATATTCAGATTCAGACGCATTAAAGTAAGACTCGTATTTTTTATGGCTGTATTTCTTTTTACGTTTAAAACATCATATTTTTCTTTCTAGCGCAGATTATTATTATTCTCTTATAATAATTATTATTATCATTATTATTATTATTATAATAATAATAATACGAGGCAGCCAAGTAGGATTTCACAGATTTAGCTTAATTCTATATCACTTATAATTATGCTCTCCTAATTCAAAAAGAAAACACAATATATCTTTTTTTTTTTTTCTTTTTTTTTTCTCTTTATTTTTTCTTTTTTTCTTTTTCTTTCTTTCTTTCTTTCTTCCCTCCCCCCCCCTACTTCTTTGTTTTGTATTTATTTTTATTTTTACTTTTATTTATACTCAGTAGTAGATCTTTAGATATCGTTGAATAAAAGAAAAAAAACAAGAAAAAATATAAAATGAGATCATTTAATTTTTATTTACTTTATTAAATGATTATCCCCAAAAAAAGAAAAAATATAAAAAACGAAATACTATCCTATTTTTCGCGTATTATAATAAATATATAAACATTATGACGGGCATTGAAATATTGATGTTTCTCTTATTCTCTTAATTTGCTGTAGGATTGTATGAATAGAGTTGCAATTTGCTAATTGTAATTTAATAAATAATAATAATAATGGACAGAGAACAACTTTAATTAGTATGTTCCATTCGTAAATTTTAAGTTTTCTTATGTCATAGTTTTTGCTTACATATGCAATATTGAGATATAATAAAATATAATAGCGAACACGATATAACTATAATAAAATAAAATAAAATAAAATAAAAAAATTAAACACTTATTGATGTAGCTGAAAATGCATGTGGGCCCCATCATTATATATTCTTATTAAATATTACATAAATATATATTCTGCTATTATTTCTCATAGCTAAAAAGAGATAAATGCGCATATGCGAAGAGGTAACATGTATGTTTGATAATCATTAGTATGTTTATTTTTGTTTTGCTTTTTCTTTTTGTATTTTAAAAAAAGTATAACAATGTTTAATAATAAATAGCGCATGCGGTTAAGCAATGAACAAACAAACAAATGTTTTACTCGATTATGATCTATAGCGCGTAATTATAAATTATGGGGTTTTTGCCGTTTTCGATTTATTGTCAAAGAAAATTAAAAAAAGGAAAAAAAAAAAAAGGAAAAAATATTGAAGGATCATCCTCCTTCAAAAAATATAAAGCATGCGCTGATATATCGTTAGTAATCGATTAATTTGTGACCTTTATGGGTCGGTGAGTGGTTTCTTCTCTATTTAATGAAAACAGTGACAGTAATATTTTATATATTTAAATTTAAGTATTTAGTAGTAATGTCTATATGATTAATATGATTGATTAATTGTTTGCATTGTATTCAAAATATTATGTCATTGTTATGTGTATCGTTGCACATAATACTATACATAGTATTATGCTTCAACGATGCAGCAAATTTTCTCTATGATACTTCGATTCAGCAAAAGCTACAATTTCAGAATGAATTATTCGTTTTTAAACTATTAAATATATACATTTAAGAAACATATAGTAATTATTACTACATAACCGACCCATTTGGTCTCTTTGCATTTATATAACACAGTAATATTGATGTATTCTTGTTGAATTATTCTATCTTGTAACTTAATATTATAACATGTACCCCATTCATGTCTAGTGTCAAGCAGAGCTGATTCTATGCTTTTGCTAGCCGAAGAACTTGAAAACACTAAGTACAGAAATTTATGTATTCACGTTTGTATGCTCAAATTCTGATGCTTTTCTGTAATTCCAATTTAAAAGGATCAAGTGAAATGAGAGAATCAGTGCTGACGAGAACATAAGGCAATTAAAAAATTATTATAAAGCTAAAATCACATTTACTACTTTAAAAATGGATACATATTTGGGAAGTAGGAGGTAATAATTATATAAATGTAGTGGCAACTCTATAATACTACCAAGAAAAAAAAAATGAAAAAAAAAAAAATACAATGTATACAATAATTATTCGAAATATTAAAATGCAAACGCACTTTGATGGATGTTGTAACAATTTAGAATATTCAAATTACATTAATATTTGCTTTGTAAATCTGCGCACATTGGATTACGACGTCGCTCTGCTAATATATCAATCCAAGATTTATTACACATTCGGTGGCATCCAACAAAATTATAATTCTCGAACAAGGAAACAATTTTCTAATGGCAGGCAGAGTGGCTCTCATCCATTTGGCAGATATTTTAAGTTCGTTTCTTTTTAAAATATTAACCAATATAATTTTCTTGTATAACGTAATTTACACAACACACACACGCAGAGAATAGAATGATAAGATACATAGAGATCCTCCGTTGGGTTTTTAAAAAAAAGCTTTTCAACATAATGTATGGTTCAAATAATGAAAATTGAACTTTCAAGAAGTTTTGTAAGAAAGCTCTTAGCACGAGAGGTTCTTGGATATGGTTGGCTGACATTTTCGAAAGTTTAATGATTTATTGAAACGTGTTGTCATGTCTTGAATATAATTAAAAGAACTATAAAAATTCTACTAAGAGAACATCATTGTGTTTTATACCAAACATTTACGTCTAGTTTCATTATTTGTTGGATATATAGAATATTTCATTGGGTTTCATAAAAAAAAAAGGTAAGTAACAAGAAATATCAAGAGATTTCATCTTTTAATATTTAGAAATCTACATATTTATTACATTACTGAATGTGATGTTAAGTAAACGATTTGTTTTTTAATACCAAGGTATCTTTCATAGCAAATATTGGTAATTCATTTCGGAAACTTTCAATATCTGAAATATATACGTCGGAATTATTCTTTTTAGATGCATTATTATTTAAATATTTCAACTTGTATGAAACTATATTGTCGTTCTCTGATGTAGAATTATCTGTAAACAAAATACATATATATATAATGTTCGATAACATTCGATTTATTAGCTGATCTATGCAGAGAACTAAATATTTTGGGGTACGTACCTTCCTTATTAGAGTTTAATTCTTCGGAACTTGAAACTTTAAAACAGGAAGTTTGTTCCGTACTTCCTATTACATGGACACTTAATTTCCTGAGGTTGTCTCCGTTAATAGTATGAGAAGCCATCCAATCTTGTAATTCTTTTATGGTAATACTATCTATAGCAATGATTTCTTTTTCCAATCTGTCGAATACGTAATCACAATTAGTGATTTCATGCCAGTTTCTATCGACTTCTTCTTTTAAATGAATATCAGCGCATTGTTTTATTTTTGTTAACGCTTCTTTAATACTCTCCAAATCTTTCTCCGAAGTTTCTTTCAATGACTTGTTAAATGATTTTAAAAATTTTTCGATTCTACTATCCACGTGTTCTGTCGTGAATCTATCAGCTTGAGTATTAACTATGATAGAATAACCAAGTACGCCATAAGTATTTCTCATAAGACACGAAACATCGTATCCAAGTTGTTCTTGCGTTCTAAGTTGATTAAATAATGGTTCCTCCATGATCATCTAAATATATATAAAAGAAAAAAAGAATTAATCAACGTAACTTTAGTTATCTCTTAATTTTTAAAATAATGATCACACGATACTTACAAGAAGCAGTTCTATAATAACAGTTAATTTGACGGACAATTCACCCGATTGATAATAATTAGTTATTACTGAATTAACATCAGTCTTATTAAAATTTGTTACTTTACAATATTGTATTCCAACAGGCAATTTAGTAATTCTCAATTGAGGCATAGTATTTGTTAACAGCGGACCGCACTTTAAAATATCGATACAGTTCTGTACATTTTTAATGACATTTTCTTTAGTCATATTGCCCTGTACGAGACATTGTATATACGTATGTTTAGTAAATTCTTCGATAAAATCTTTAAATTCATTAAACGTAGTAGTAGAAATAGCCGTATGTCTATCAATGGCAGGCCAATGGTCGAGCATTAACATGGATAATCTTAAATCTCTGTAAAATTTTATAGAAAAACAAACAAATGTTATTAAACATTTACGTATTATCATTTTATAATTTATAATAAAAGATTAACAGAGAAACATGATAGGTACTTAGCCAATTTTCCTGGTTTTAAAAATGAATTATAATAAGCTTTCAGTTGTTCTTGCTTCATAACATCAAATAGATCTTTTGTCAAAAGATTTGGACAATTTGCTATATATTTTACACAAATATTTAATAACAGCTGAACAAAAACAGATGCATATTAGTAAAACGTACCACGATCAAAATCGATGAATCAAATAAGACATATATGTACTTACTGGTAGTTTTTCGTTAAATCCACTAACTTTAACAACAATGCCCTTCTGACCTGTATACATTTGATGTTTGAATTCAGCCGCTGTAGCCGGATATAATTCTTCGACTAATAATTGTTTTAATATTTCTATAAATAAGTCCATCATAGCAACGCTACAAAAAAAAAACATTCATGATTATTCATTATTTTCAAGCAATATAATATTTGTATATAAGTACAAATGAAAATATTCATATTTAATAATAAAATATTTCTTACTTTTTGGCTGACGTTGTTAATGGTGATATAATATAAAAGTACATGTAACATTCGGGTAAACCAAACTTAGAATCTTGCCTATACCAAATTTCGCATATATCATCATAATGTATTTTAACAGGATATTTAGGAATTTCCGAAGGTATAGGTATCAAACTAAAGTCATTAGTAAGAAAGATATTTGGTAATGGCAAGTGAAATTCTGGCAAAGGAGCTATTGTTTTCCAAGTTTCTGTCCATTCGGTGGGTATATCCATGTCGGTATATTTAGTTTTAAACCATGGTTCCACTTTATCGAATTCTCGTTCATTAAATTTTTTATCAAATATAATAATATTTACATTATCGGGGGATAAATAATTCATGCACATTTGTATTGCCTCAGGATTATACTCAAAGTAAAGTTCGCTACCGGTAATGTAATCTTTTGGAGGAAAGAAGTGCATATTCTCGCACATTTCTTCCACATAATCTGCGGGTGCGACTTCATCCGAGAATCTATAAATAATAGATGTAATATTATTATATTACGCGTTAATACATTTTTTTATTTTTAATGAAATTATTTTGTATTACCTAAAATTAGTTTCCTCGATCTGAGATATTTCATCATAAATTCGTTTTTGTGGGCCTTCCTTTTTCATTAAATTAATATAAGAGAATATGCAATTTAATACGTCCTCTAAATGCTTGTGACCTTCTTCTGTAAGAATCAATGATAAACTAAACAATGCATAGATAGAGGAATGTTCAAAACCACTTTCTGAGTTTCCACTAAAAATATCCAAACACCACATTTTCTTTCGCAAATAACTTATCAATGAGCCCATTCCTTCGTGTCCAATGATCCAAGCGATATAATGATGTGGTTTGCTTTTATAATATTCATGTAAAGGTGGCATTGCCCATGTTAATTCTATTTGACAAACATCTTTGACAGGCTTTACTTTATAGATTTTTCTAAAGTTAGGGGTATCAAACGAATCTGCCCCTTTAAACTCGCTAAAGTCAGTCGGAGGTAAATCATTACTTGGAACTTCGGAAAAACATTGAATTGCATATTCTTCTAAGGTATCTAATGGTAATTTAGCTTGTATAGCAACTTTCATTCTGTGAGCACTATAATGGCGTTCCCTAAATTTATGCAGTTCTTCGTAAAGTTTATCATCTGTTACGTTATCACGTAAAGTTATTAAATTTCCCCACATAAATTTTCTCGCAGGATGCTTCGGTTTGGCTAGACTACAAAATAATTGTTCCTTTCTATAAATATCGGAAGGCAAAGCCATTTGAAATTCACTTTCAACGGCTTCTCTTTCTCTGGTAATCGCTCCTTTTTTCATCAATGGTTTTATAAAAAATTGTGCAAAACGATCAAGAGACGATAATAAATATTTCTCTTGTACTTCGAAATAAAACGTTGTTTGCTCGCATTCCGTAGCAGCATTATCAGAACCGCCTCTTTTTGTAATATATGAATCAAAATCATTTTCCTGGAAATATAATACATTTCGTGATAAACCATAATTATAACAGCATTTTATAATCATTCGTTTATAAATAATATATAGTATGCGTTAGGTATGAACCTCAGGATATTTCTGCGAACCCATGAATACCATATGTTCTAAAAAGTGAGCCATTCCTGGAATTTCTTCTGGATCACTAAAGCTTCCAACACCCACGCACAAACCGCATGCTGCCTGTGTAATCATATTTCATGAAATACAATAGACAAATCTTTATATTTTGATATTCTTATTATAATAATTTCACATTACATAGTATTATTTTAATTATTTTTTGAAAACTTACCATTTTTTCTTCTCTTTTAAGGCGTTTACCTCCTAATAAATGAGCATCATCAGTCTCCGGTTCACAATGACATTTCCCTTCGTCATTTTCATCTTTATCTTCTTCCAAATCATCATCTTCAACATCATCATCCTCATCATCACCCTCACCACCATCACCATCATCATCATCATCATCATCATCATCATCGTCCTCATCGTCCTCGTCTATGTCATCTCCATCGCTCTCTTCATCATCAGCATCATCGTTCACAACTCCAACTTATAAAAAATAAAATATTATTCACGTGTATCATAGCAATGATATCTTTTTATAGAAAACTATATAACATTTGGTTTATCATTACTTATAGAACCATCAGTATCGCGTAATTGATGTTTAGCGGAATGTAAATCTGCAATTAACAAAGCGGTGAGCCCGTTCTCCAACTTGATGACTCTAAAAACAAAAAATTGGATAATAATGTCACCGCTTTACATCCATCAATATTTTCATTTTCAATTACCTGTACTCTTTTTTATCGTTTTCTGATTTAACTGGTGTGTCCAAGTATTCGACTTTAACATTAATCTTTTCATTATTATCTTCCATATTTTCCATGGAAAGTGTGCTTTTGTGAAGGTTAATATTACCCGAAACTTCTTGATCGTTTGACATTTCCATTGAGCTTAAATTAGATGTCAAATTTTTCTCCGGCAAATTGTGTACAATTCTTTTTGGCATTATCTTTGGAAACAATATATTTTTAAACGTACATTTAGCACTTTGTTTAAAAAGTATTCGTTGAAAAGATAAAAGCATGTGACGTGCAACCTATTATAGAATGAACTTTACTTTTTCACCTAATTTTAATATAAAAAAACATGCACTTAAAGATTTAGACGGAATGAATAATTATTCTAATATTAAATAATATTTGTTTAACAATATTTAGCTGTCATTATTACTTGTATATCAGAAACGTATCCAGTTAATCCACTAACTGTAGACTTGGCAGCATATCAGGTTCCTTTATTATCGACCGAACACTCCCACATACAATTGATTTTTTTTTCACCACAGAAAAGTTGGCATAGAATCTGAACAGGCAGAAAAATATGAATAAGTATTCTTAATTGTACATTAATTGCACATTTAAAATCTATCATTGCACACTTTATCAATTAATTATTTCATTAGGTATAATTAATTGAAAAAGAAAAAAACAAAAAAGCTTTTTGTCTCATTTCTAAGCAAATCAATGAGGTTTCCTATTGTTTTTTGGTTTGCAATTAATTGCTGACTTTTTGTTTGTCCGTTTCCTCCGGTCTTAAAATTAGTTTTTATTACTAAGAATGTATTGTTATTTAAAGCGTCTTTCTGCTTTTCTTATCTGTTTTATTATCCAAAAGTTTCATTGTAGTATATTTACATGTTATATTAATAATTATACGCACTACATCTCTTATATGAATCTATACGAGACTTAACATTATATAGAAATGTTACAAACAGGTACAAAAACTATTCTACTTGTTTATTCTAACTTATAGACTAACGATTAATCTAATACAATATCATTTTTCAAAGATATGAATAAAAAAACGAAATGCGTTTTTATTTTTAAGTAAATAATCATAATCGTAAATACGTTATTTCATAATTTATAATTATTATTTTATATTAACATACAATCTTACAAATTCATATATATATATATATACGTTTTTATTTATTTGAATTTAAAAAAACCAAATGATACAAAAGAGCGCGTAATTTGAATGAACATTAATCAAAATGGCGTATCAAAGTTTTTGTACTGTGACAGGGTTGTAATCAAGATCTTCATTTTTATCAAAGTTTTGATTGATTTAAAACTAATTTAGTAATTAATAAGAAAAAACAACTTAAATTCATTCAGTGCATTAATTAATTCTCAAGTAATAACACAGTTAAGATAATTTCAAAAGTTAATTGGTAAGATTTTGATTACAAATTTAATGCGAATTCTCTTAATTATTTTCTTTATTCATATACCTTGACCATTTTTGGCAGTGCAATGTCATCGTAAATACAAAATATCAATACGTCTTATAGATTATACAAATTTTTAATCTCGCACAGATATTTTTTTCGTATTCTAATTCGTACGTTATAAACAAATACATTTTATTATTTATTTATTTTTTTTATTAATATATACTCACAACTTGCAGTACTTTTTACTACGATGTTGTTTTCATTAAAATGCATAAGAAATATGGATAGATTAACATCTTTGAAATTGTTATTTAAATATCATGCAGATACCGTACATTGAATGCACCTTGCTATTACCTGTTTCTCTTTTTCATGGACGGTAAATACATAATTTGACAATTTATGTTATTCGTTTCCATGAATCTTTATTTATTTATATATATTGTATTGCATTTTATTTTTTTGTCTCTGCAAATTTAATTTATAAAACGTATTGCGTAATAAAAAAGTATGTCTCCTATTATTTCATACGCACTTAAGTGGTATACTTCCAAATAGAATATTAATACAATTGTTGTGTTATATTATAAAATGCATATTTCCTTTCGTTTAATATTATTAAACGTTATTTATTTTTATGACATCACACGAATGTGTTATATATCGACAAATATTTACAGTTTTTTTATAAAAATCTTGTATTGTGCGATGAATTTTCTTTCTCATTTCATATGTATATACATATTACACATTTTTATAACGCTGACGTTTTTATTTTTGATCATTTTAATTGGGCTTATAATTATCTATTACAATTTTTAGAATAATTATTTTTTATGCGAACATAAGAGAGTTTTTATTTTCGTGCTGAAAAGTAATGAAATTGTTTGTCCCCGTTATTTAATTATATTTCTTATTTCTTAAAGTAACACTTGAGATTAATGTCGTGGTTATAAAAACATTTAAAAACATTTTTCAATAGAATTGAATGTAATATGCAACATTGATATACGTTGTTACTTGGACATTTTTTTTTTTTGACCGACATTGCAATGCTAAAAGATAAATGAAAGAAAAACTACGAGTTAAGTTAGATTCATTTGCATAATTTTTACACATTGAATAATTTGATATTGTTGCCATTAAAAATAATCATCGCACGTATAACAAAATAGGCATAAGTTAGTTTGTTTCTTTTTGATAATTGTTAGAATCGTTGAACGCGTGCTTTTTTTTAATCTCTTGTCGTAAAAAATAAAATTATACGAGTTTATTTAAAAATCTATTAATGTTTATTAGAAAAAAAAGAGAAGTATTTACAGTAATACAAATACTTTCTATACAAAATGTATCTTTGATCGTCAATTAAGTCTGTCTTATGAAAAACGAAAAAGAACATCTTTGTATGTGCGATTAAAATCAAAAGATTGGTCCCATTTCTTAATCATAAAACATACTTTATACATTTCAAAACAAGCTTTTTTTTTTTTTTTTTAATATATTAATACATAATAAATTTATGGTGCCCACGTTACGATTTTTCTTAAAACGTTATTGTAATACAAGTAATATATCTACTGTGTTACTTTGTCTATCGTTATGTATATATTTAAATATGACTCTTGCTATATATATACAACTTATTTTAAATATAAGTCAACTTATTTTTAAATTAAGTTACATTATGATAGAAGAAACTGTAGATGGAATGATAATAACTGATAGACAAAGCATGCATTATGTATTTCTTTGTACGAATATTGAATTTTTTGTTAAACGTATGTACTTTTTTTAAATGAAAACTTTTTTATCGTAGATAATACAAATATGCAAGATAATTAAAAGATAATATCTCAAATAATAGAACTCTATTAATTTTATAAAATAGAATTCTATTATTTAATTCGTTTCAATTGATCCTGCATTTACATATTACCGTAAAAGTCATTTATATATTGTTTAAATAATGTTAATAGAACAAAATTATTGTATACGTTGTATTACAGTATTTTTTGAAGAAAGATTCGTAAACGTGATATATTTTGTGTCATAAGTATTTAAAAAATCATATTAAAAGAAACTAGAAAAAGGAAATAGTTTTGCTATACAACTTAGCATTGTTAATTGCAAGATGTATATACAATATTAAAATCAATTAATGATATGCATATACATACTTATCATCAACACGTTCCATTCCACAAGGGTCGCATACGTCGTCGTCGTCCCATTCTGAATGAATTTTTTCGTTCAGGCTGGTTGAAATTTTTGTTATTCATTATTATTTGTCATGCGTATGCGACCTATGCAGCAATAAAAATTTTATAAATGTTCTCGAAAAGCTATGAAATGTCAATTTACAAACTTCTTCTTCTTCTATTAATGATACAGTTAATTGATCGTTGTCCTAATCTGAGAAAGGAACATTTTTCTATAGAAAACTAAGAATACGATTAATGTTACACTTAAAAACAAATCAGGTAAAACAATTTTCATCATCTGTACTTAATTATACAAACAAAAAAAACAAAATTGTTTCTTCTCGATCATTCCATAGCTGTCACGTCTTTGTACTCTACTTAAATGAAATATAATACGTTTAATATTATTACGTTTTTCAGTAATATATATCTGCAAAAACATTTATAATTATTATTTATCTCAGAAATGTATAAAAAATATGTTACATCAGTCTGGCCAATATTAGAATGACCAAATACTTATTAGTTTACTTTACAACACGTTTCTTTCTTTTTTTTTTTTTGGTTTTTTGTTTGTTTTCTTTTTTTTCCTTTTCATTTTATAAATGTGGTCTTGATAAATTACAAAATATAAACAATGATAATGATAATTATTAGACAAAACTTTATAAATTATTGTATATGCTTGATTGATTTTGTTTTCTACTTTGTCGTTTAGTTATATATATATATTATATATAATATAACATTTTTTTTTTATCCGATATAAACTTAACTGTAATTTTATTTTCTTTTCTTTTTTTTTGTGTGTTTTTCTTTTTCTTTTTTTTGTTTCACAATATGTATCATTGTTCTCGAGTTAATTAAAATTGCAAGGCAATAATATCTGGATATTATTTGTACAAATAATAAAAAATAAAAGTAAAAATTGACGAGAAAGGAATGATGACAGCAGAAATCTAAGAAAAAAATATAATGTGAAAAAAAAATTAGAAAAAAAATATTCTGAAATTGTCTACGGTGCTAGTAGAATGTTTTAACTATATACGTGTACAGAGATTACACAGAGAAACAAGTTCGGTAAAAATAGATTATTCGTCAACAATGTTAAACGGAAGTTCGTGAAATCGTTTAATGAATTTGGAAGATCTTCATGCGTAACTATATTATCTCATTATAGTTACTAATGCACTGTGTAAAGTAAAAAGACGATATTTATGGTTTGCTCTGACTCAGTTCATGAGTAAGTACTCCTATACAATCTAAAATGCATGACATATATATATATATATAATGCTAGTAAATTTGTTATATAAATTACTAAGATTTTTAAATCTACAACTCAATATTTTCAATCATATAAAAGCTAAACATGTTATTAAACAGATGGTGATGGTGGTGGTGTGGTGGTGGTGGTGGTGTGGTTGGTGGGATATATACCGCTTTGCTTCTTATACTTTTTCATCATATGTACACTATAGTACTGATGCGTTTCCAACTGTTTCTTTTTTACTTGCTCGCAATTTTACTTGGCTGTTTAAGATTCGACAAAGAAATATTTCTATGCACGTGTATCATGGATATTAAAAAATTAAGTAGAGAGATTTTCTAATAAGAATAATTCCAATTATTATTTGAGAATGCTTTTTGAATTGTTTGAAACATCATCTTGTATTAGCAAAATGTCGTCAAATCGTATAAAATTTGACTCACGTTTTATTATTGTAGGAAAAACAATATATAAAAAAAAAAAAGAAAAGAACGATCATATTTTATAAGCATGAAATATTTTTGTCGAAAGCTCTTTAAAAAAGGGGGATGTTAATTTTACTCGTAGATCCATATTCGATTTTTGTTGTTTTTCTTTTTTGTTTTCGAATGTTTTAAATTACTCGATTTTAAGGAGAGGTTCAGCCGTGGTCTCTGCTCTTAAAAGTAAAGGCGTTTTTCTTCGAGAAGTAGTTACAGGTTGATAAACGTAATTCCCTTGTATAGAACCGGTAAGGGTTTTTCGTTTTTTCGTACAAGGACTTAATTCATAACCAATTGTTTCTTGTTTAGTGATGTTTAATTGCATATGCAATGCATCCTTATCATCTATGTCGATTTCATCGTAAATATGTTCTTTGATGTCGATATCACAATCTTGACTACTTTCGTCATAACTGTCGGTAACCGAATTAGCTGCAATATGATTGTGCATAGATTCATCGTACACAGCACTTTCTTCAGCAGTCTCATCACTTGAACTTTCATTTTCTTCTGACATTTCACCACTCCCACCATACTTCATTTCTCCTCTTTCCAATAGTTCCAAATGATCCGGACATATCATTGCTTTTTTAATTGCTAATGGATCCTTCCTCGACCATTTCTGTACTTCTTCATCCATTTTGGCTACCTTCGCTGGATTAATTGCCCACAAGCATCCCTTTCTTTGATTTCCATTGCCTGCTGGTTTTTCGATTTTTTCAAAACATTTGTTCAAAGATAGATTATGCCTCACGGAGTTTTTCCAACCATTTGGTGCAGTTTTAAAGTACGGAAAGTGTTCGCTGTAACATAAATATTAATTAAACTTATAAAAAAAAACTATTGCAAAATAAAACTAGGTTTATAAAAGGGAACGGGAAGTTTGTTCAATAAAAAACATAAGCCTGAAAAATCGTTGAGAATTAAGCGAGGAGTACTGCGTATAGTTTCTAGGGGGACTGTACCCTGACATGCACCTGGTGTTCCAAGGGCCCCCATACAAAATGGCAGCTCCCCCCTTGTAACCTGGGAATAAAGGAGAGAAGACAATACTTTCTCCCTTCGTTCCCCGAACATCAGGAGAGATGGAGAGAGGGAGAGGGAGAGGGGGATTTACCCAACCCTTGTCTTTCCGGCCAAATGGCTGAAAATAAGCGATCTGGGGAACTTTGTTTTTCGAACGTAAGTCTTTCTATCTTTTGTTAATCAATTTTGTTCAAATAATAATATCCCCTTCAGTTGAAAATTAACAATGAAAGATACATAAGAAAAATAATAAAACTTACCACATAAAATTGTAGATTTCTGAAACTGGAAGCGAACCAGTTTGACTATTTTTCAAGGCCATAGCAATCAAACAAGAATAAGAATACGCCGGTTTCGGATATAATTTATCCTCAAAGTCGGACAAATCAAATTCTTTTCTAATTGAGATCGTAGACGACGAAGAATTGTTAACATGATAATTGTTATTATAGATTTGTTTTCTAACGTGCTGAGATTGTTGACTCGGTTGGGTGCTTTGTAATACTTTAAAATTTTGAGCCCGTATACCGGGTAATCCATTAATTTTAGACGACAAATGGGCCTTCGTTATTTGAGGGGATATTGTTTTAATGGCAGTATTTAACGATATTGTATGAGAAGGTTTTAATCTCAACAATGCAACCGGTCTACTGGCTATTTCTTGCTCGTCCTCGGTGTCATCCTCAGTTTCCGTAATATCATTTTCATATTGATCGATTTCCGTATCTACCTCGTTATAATTTTCTTGATCATTTTCATTATCCTGATCAATATCATTGTAATTGTCATTATCATTATCATTATCATTATCATTGTCATCGTTTTCGTTATCGTTATCGTTATCATTTTCATCGTTCTCGTTGTCATTTTCATTCTCGACATCATCGTCATTGTCCAACTCGTTTTCAACATCTATCTTTTCCTCTTTGACCTCTATCTTGGGTGTAAAAGAAAAGTGTCGTTTGTTGATGTTCGACATAGAATTGTGGGTGGCCATGTGAGGCATTACAGAATTGGGATTAACCATAATGGATGTAACGTCGTTGCTTAAATCGAGATGGAAATTACTGCTGAAAGCAAAGAAGACAAAAATAAAATTAGGGGATGTTAATATCTTTGTTTCTAATTTTTAATCATAATTCTCGTGATTATGGAGGATTATTAATAACAATAATCATTCGTACCTGTTAGAACTGTTACTGTTGCTGTTGCCATTTAGCAAATTAGAAGAATTTAAAGTTTTATGAAGATCGTTAAGGACAACAGGATTGTCGTCCAATTCGATTTGCGGTAAATCTGCGATACTGAAACTGTAATCCGCGTGAATATCGTTGTGACCATCGATAACGTCTTCGATCTCGCATCTGATATCGACGTCGAGCATTTCTTGAAGGGAAAGACTGTCGGTACCGAAATAAGAATCCATTGAGAGCCAAGGGCTTGATGGAACCTGATCTGGCCCAAGAGCGGATCTACTCATTGTTTCCAACATTCATCTAACTGAAAATATAGAGAAAAAAAACAAAATTAATAAATTACATATTAAAATAATTGTCTCAACGATTAGCAGCGTCAAATCTTTAATCCAAGTCAAATGAAATAATTCAATGAATAAAATAAATAAATAAAAAATAAGAAAGATAAAAATGGGGGTAAAGAAAATATGTTAGGATCAGATATTATAAACCTAGAAAAAGATATTTAATCATCCTCCCACAGTGTTATTTTCCAAGGGCTGTTATATATACCGGTTAAGTAAATAGCAAGCACACTACAACTCGAGCCATTGACCGAAGAAGAAAATAATACTATATTCGATGCCAAGTATAGCGCAAGAATCGTCTGATCACGCTAATGTATATAACATATATACACGGTGTATGCATTATATCTCTCCTACATATATATATATATATAAATATGTATATTAACCATTCTTTTTCTTTATGAATGTTATATTATATTCATCAATTTCTTAGCCATGGGAAAACATAAAAGAGAGAGAGAGAAAGAAAGAAGATAAGAAAACAGTGATGATTCTACTCGGAAGTAGACACATTCTTCTTAAGATAAACGAAATACGGAACCACATTCGATACTCAAAGTTGATTTCAAGAAAAGACGAGGCCAATAGATCCTCGATTATGTGTTCGTAAGCGTGACCTCGCGTGCGGCAATGGAATATACATGTATATGATATATATATGTATGTGTGTGTGACTCACTAGATAATCACACGTTTACTAGCTAGCTCATCCTAAGCCAGGACGTACGTAATACACACACAACATACATACAAATCTTTTCTTTTTCTTTCTTTCTTCGTGTGTGTGTATGTGTGTACGTGTTGACTCGTTAGAATCACACACGTTTACTAGTAGCTAACTCATCGTAAGCCGCCACACACAAGTCTTCTCTTTTTTTCTTCGTGTGTGTATATACATGGGTACACGAGGGTCTTGAACCCACAATTGGACTTGTGGGTGTGACTGACTCATAGTATTATAGTCGATTTACTATAGAGCACGCGTGGACTCTCGTAGTAAGCTTCCCCCCCCCTTCGATAGTTTTCTTTTTCTCGTTCTACGCTTCGTTTCCCTTCTCCCTCGAGCGAGAACGAATGAGAGAAAAGAAGAAGGGGGAATAGGGGGACCAGGGGTAAAAGAAGAAGAGGATTGATGGGGCTACGAGAGGGGGAAGGAGAGAGAAAGAGAATTACGAGTTACCCGTACACGATCGTGACTGTGTTCCCCTTCTCGCGACGTGTATTATTTTGTATGCCTAATGTGTGTACAGAAAAGGGGGAAAAAAAGAAGGGAGGAAAAAGAGAAAGGGGGTTAGGGAAGAGAGAAGGTTGTATGGTGTTCCTACGCTCTCGTAAAATCGTTCCGAGTATATATATATATTTAATAGTATGTGTGAGTGATTTGATGATAATGCAACAAGAGCTGTTTAACACATAACCATATGTATATAAATAAATTTATATCGCAAACACATGACTAAAGATATAGAAAAAGAGAGAGAAAATTAATCTCCCCCCCCTGTATAAAAATCTGATCCACCAACGCTCATTTTACTACGATGACGTCCGCCATGTAGTAGCCCCGTTGATTCTTGTGTGGTCTCATTCCGTACAT